CGTCGCGGCGGCGTCGCGGCGGGAAGGGGCTGCCGCCTTCCTCCTCCTCCTCCTCATCATCATCCCGGTCCCTCTTGAGGAGGAAAGTAGAGCGGGGGGAGAGGTGCCCTCGCCTCCGGGGCCGGGGGGGCGGCCGTGACCGACCTGCTCGAGGTGGTCGGTCAGCACCCGCGGGCAGGCCCCCCTCTCACCATGAGGACACCCCCTCCCCGCCCCGGCACAAGGAAAATTTATTTCAGAGAACCTGGGAGGACACAGGAGTCAAGGCTGGGGGGCCTGGAGGACCCGGCGGCGGCTTTATCTGTCCTCGTCCTTCAGAGGGAACGCAAGGGTTGCTCAACAAGCGGCTTCCACCGGGGTCTTCACCAGTGAGGTTCTTACAAATGGCTTTACGGGAGGGAGGGCAAATATTTTTAAAGGGAAATAAAAACCAAGCACCTGCCAATTTAAGTAGCATCCCCCATTCCCCAAGAAGTGGGAGGGTTTGTGCCAAAGGGGGTGCTCACCCTCAAGAATCTTACCCCGGGGAGCATGAACTGCAGCTCTCCGGTAATGGGGCCAGCCAAGAAGGGGGCCTGGCTGGAGAGATCATGTTCCAGTCCCAGCCTGTGCACCAGAGGGTCAAAAAGTAGGTGAAAGACTCCGATTAGCACCCTTGCTGTCCCTCTTTCCCCAGGCAGAGACAGGCTCGTGACGGACGGTGAGTCACAGGAACACGTCACCAGCACACAAACTCCAGTAACCTCTCAGGAGCTGCATTTCACTGCATAAATGGGAAAGTTTTCCCAAAGTCAGGAGAGCTGAGCCACTAATGGCAGGTACGTGTCTGTCTTTCTCCTCACGACTTCAGGGCTGTGCTATGCATGCAAAATACGTACCCAGATGCACCTTGAAAGGTTGTCCCAAACTATCGTACAAAGCGACGATGAGGTATTAAAAACATTTCTATCACATTTCACCTTATCAGATCTGTTAATAAAACAAATTTGTTTTGACCAACACGTACCCGAGACACACTGTTAAAAAGGTGTAAATCTGCTGGAACTATTCAGAAGTGGTTTTAAATAGCCTGTGGGGACTCGGAGCAGAGCCACTGGGTGAAAAAGTCTGAAACTGATTCAGTCTGCAATGTGTCTTCATGATATTATCCCACCACCCATCTTTCATGCTGCTTAATAGGGAAGCTGTTGTAAAAATTAAAAGAAAAAAATAAAAATCCTATTATTGTTGAAATGCATGGGTGATAGCACCAGGAATTTTCACATAAATTTGCCCCTGTTCTTAAGAAGTCGATTTTAACACAAAGCTGCTTAGAGACTCTCAACTCAGGCCATCCGTGATCACTGGTGCCCTCATGCTGAAAATGCTGTGCTAGCTATTTACACTGAAGTGTTTTGTGGTGCCCGCATCCGCTGGGTGAGCAAGTGGAAAAGCCAAAAAAAACACCAACCCACCTCCAAAAGATGCCTAAAGGTCAATAAATTGTTGACGGAACTGTTCATCAAATTAGTAAAGTCCTAAATCCGCGTGGTAGGAATATGAGATACATTTAACAGAAAGAAACATGCACCTAACCTTCAGAGTTAGTCTGTTTGCTTTTCTTATTTTGCCTTAATGAGGCAGTGGATGGGTCCCACCGGATTTTTATTAGCACCACTGGACAAACCTCCCAGGCCAAAGCATTGTGGTGTGATGGGCACTGAGTCCCTGGTCTCTCCGTCTTTCCCCAGCAGAGCTGTTTCACAGCCTACCTTCCCTCCTGTTCAGAGGCTGTTTACCTGCAGCTCACCAACGGTGAAAAGCAAAGCAGATGCTCTTGTTACCTTTCTTCCCATCCTTTAAAACATAAATTGGAAGAAGTCATTGCCACCTCTTCTTCCTGCCACTCACGCCCTTTGTCTGCTGTTGTCTTCACCGGTCCAAACTGCTGCACTGTTTCACCAGCTCCATCAGTTTACTCTGCTTGTCACCACGGTGCTTGCAATCTTGATTTTCTGGAGTGTTTTACATTAATCCTACGGGTTGCATTGCTCAACGATTGCCTAACCACGACCGTTCCTGAGCGCTCCTGGCTGAATCACTGCGTGGCCGTTCCTCTTCGTTGACGTGGGAACCTGTGGCCCTCACACCCCAACCTTTTCCTTAAGCTTCGCTCGCTCTCACCTACCCAGTGCCAGGCAGCAACTTGATTTCTGCAGCACTGCTTGTTTCTTTTTCTTTTTTTTCTCTCTTCCTCCCTCCCTTCCTCCCTCCCACCCTTCCCACCCCCACCTCCCCAAGCAGTCTACATAAAAATGTATAGATTTTGCATACACTTTATGTACCGTCACTTTGGTGACTGCAGACATGCTTGATGCAGCAGTTGCTGGCTGAGCCTGCCTTACGCCTGGCAGCTTGAGGGGAGCATATAGAGAAGCCTCTGCTGCTATATTAGGCTGGATATTAGGAAAATTTTTTTCACTGAAAGGGTTATCAGCCATTGGAATGGGCTGCCCAGGGAGGTGGTTGAGGCACCATCCCTGGAGGTGTTCAAAAGACGGGTTGATGTAGTGCTGGGAGGGATGGGTTAGTGATGATGCTCCTTGTTTGTTGTGTGGGTGTCTATTTTTGTCAGTTAGGTTGACGGTTGGACAAGATGATCTTTAAGGTCCCTTCCAACCTAGAAGATTCTGTGATTCTGTAATGCTTATGTGGAGATTCTGTGATTCTGTGATTCTGTAATGCTTATGTGCTGCCCAGGATGGATGGATACACCCACAGGATGACTGGTGGGGTCCTTGCAGCCCAGGGGAGGCACTGGGGAGGCAGAAGCATGGCCCGTGCTGGCCTGCGTTATGGAGAGGTGGGGATGGCAAGGGAGGCGAGGCAGAAGGTTGAGGCTTTCACAACCCCTCTATAAAATCTGTGCCTGGTCCTGTTCCTCCTTGTCATTTTTGGCACTGCTGCAAAATAGATGTGATTAACGCTGCCTACTTTTAATTATGTGTAACTAATTTTTTTTCTATTTTACAATTTTGGGTGTCAGTTACCCCAGGGAGTAAGTAGCTGTGGCTGTTTCTGATACCTGCATTTATTGACCAGAATGATTAATACCTTTAAAACTTCTACCTGGACTTTAAAGTCGGTCACCTGAGAACCTCAGTATTTTCATGTATTTCAGCAAAGTGTAGTATGTCCAATAATAACCTCTTTAAAAGTATGGTTTGTAATTTCCCAATATGTATGCACAGTAGCAACATCCTAATGTATAAATGAAAGAGCTCCCTCAAGTGGTTACAAATATTGTTGCATGTTTCACTTAAATTTTTTCCTTTAAAAAAAACCCAACAAAATGACAGTCATTTTAGATATGTAATGTAAAGCTACTTATGAATGTAGCAATGAATGAGCTTCCATTTTTGCATAACCATAAAAAATGGTGTGGATGTAAGACTGAGGCCAAAGCTCAGTCAGGCAAGTGCTGCAGTTAAAAAAGAAATAAACTTAAGAAACCGTAGAGAACTTCAGTCTGATCTGATAATGCATGATAGAATTTTGGCAGGAAAACTGGAAACTAGCTCCAGCAGATATCACATTTTTGAGGATGCCTGAAGTGTTTTTAAATATAAAGACTGCTTTTTAAAAATGCCGGTTTGAGTTTTCACAGTTCCTGCTATCATCATGTCAAGATTTTGCGTGTAATTACCCTCACTCCTCTTTACTTTGTGGGAGGCATAGTTTTCAAAATATTTGGTGAAAGAGATTCAGATCTGTAAACTTCAGGGGAAAGACAAAAGCAGCAGGAATTGAACTCTGACTTCAGTGAGCAATTCCTCATGCGGTAACTTTCCAAGCAATGAAGTGGCTGGTTTTGGTGGCAGATGAAACAGTCAGAAAGAAACGATCCCATCTCTCTCGGCAGAGGGCAGTGGTATCCCTACTCAAATATCACATCACTTTTGCTACTGAATTGAAATCATCCTTTAAAAAAAAAAAAAAAAAGTGAAGTCCTACTGGCAGCCAGCAAGTTGCTGGCTTCCTCTCCAAGCTCAGAAATTAAAATGTTGAGCTTCTTGCCATGACCAAACAGGAGGCACAACAACCAACTTAATTGCTGTGATTGCATTGCTGAAAAGGGAAACTTGCATTATTTTTTAAGGAGCAAATACTTTTTCCTTTCTCTACCGTTTTTAAGTAATAGAATTGATTTTGCCAGCTGGGCTGGTGTAATAGTTGTGGGTTGGTTTGTTTAAATTGAGGAGGTTATCTCTGCAGTATATTCAAAAAGGAGAAGATCCTTCTCATCTGGCTAACCTTCGAATCGTGGAAGGTATTGGCTCTGTATACATATAACTACTGTCTAACCCTGCTAAGATGAACTGTGTTTCCAAAACTGTTCTTTATCCCCTGTGATATACCAGCATTCTCTTTCTCAGAGAATGCCTGATTTTTTCAGGCTCAGAAGCAATCTTACCTGGGTCCCAACCACATCATACATGTTAATGATTCCTTGTGACACCACCTCAAACCAATCTCTGATTTATTTTGCAGCTTACTCTGCTGCTTATTAAAATTGCATGAAAATATTGAACTGCCTCCATGCGAGGGTCTCTGAAGTTGTTTCAGCAGGAACACACCACATTAAAAGTGCAGTCAGCCCTGGAAGAGTGACTTTGGAGAGATTAGTTCCAGAACAAACAGGTCTAGTTACCAGTATTGACTCTCCTGCTTATAAGGGCTTTCTAAATATTTTTGTGGAAATGCAGCACTGAACTTGGCCAGCATCTCCTTCCCATTCCTACAGTAGCAACTGTACAAGTTCCTTGTGGCTCCACAGATTTCCAGCTGTGCTACACAGCTGGGACCCTTCCTTGTGAAGGTAAGATGCAGCAAGTGGAAGAGTAGACATTTTACACCTAGTTTAATGACTGCTGACTATTCTGTAGTAGCAATCTTTTCCTCTACGTATTTCATAAAACTGTGCATCCTTTCTCTTTTCCTAAGTAAACACAAAATAGTTTGCTATGGCTCTCCCCGTAGCTGCTAAAAAACAGTGTAAGTCAGTTTTTTCTACCATTTCATTGTCTCCCATTTATTTGTTACAGTATAAACGTGCTGACTGCTGAGGAACATGGAAGAGAATTAGTGCTTATGGAATGACTGGTCCAGGATGATTCCCAGGTCAGTTGTTTGCAGGTCATTGTACAGTCCTACCTATTCTGTACTTTGCAAAATGCAGGCTATGGGGAATAATAACTTTCTGTGGGCAGTGACCAACCTTTTCACTTTTCTAACGTGGGATGTTTCCATTACTTTCTCCACTCCCCAGTTGTAGAAACAGAAGCATGTTTTTAGGGCTGGGCTTTCATATACGAGCGAGAACATATATATATATACACACATTTAAATCTTGTTTTTAGGGCTGGGCTTTCATATACGAGCGATAACATATATATATATACACACACATTTAAATCTTTTAGACTGTCCTAAAAAATAACATTATGAGGCTGTGGAAAAGGTACTGGACTTTAAAGGTGTGGTGGAAAAAATCTTGAGGTGCTATGGTGAGAACAGATCAGACTCTTGGAGGGAGTATGAGATCCTTAGGGTCATCAAAGAGAGATCTTAATAAAAAACGTCATTAGGGAAGCCAGTGTGCTTGCAAGACTCATGGGGAACTCCATGGAGAAGTCCAGAAGCACCAAAATGGCACCTAGAATCATAACGCCAGAAGTGGTCGATCTTTGTAATGAAAAACTCCCAAAAATATGAGGACAAGGGGAAAAATAATCCTGATGAAAACCAGGACATATTTTTCAGAGGAGAACAAATATAAAGCCATGGAAGATTGACTCTCTGTTGTAAACTGAGAGAAAACCCATTTTCAGCTTTCCGTGTCGGACATTTCTTTTCCACCTTGTTTTAATCTCTGCAAAGATAGGATGACATCTACCAAAAGTAGTCCCGAGCAGGAGAAATTTCTAAATCTGCCCAGGCAGCTCTTTGGCTGTTTCCATGGCAATGAGGCAGCGTGTCCTGCTGCTCTCCCTTCTGTGAGAGCCTTTCCCAAGCTTTATACGGACAGACAGTGCCATGCGTTTGTAACTCCCCTGCCAAAAACTTCCCTCTTCTCTGTTCAAGGCCATTCCCATCTGTTCCTTTCTGCTTCTCCCTGATTTTGGAAACACCCGGCCAGAGAGGGAATCCATCCATGTGTTCACTTCTCTTCAGCAATGATTCAGGCCAAGCAGGGACCGCTGATCATTATAGAAGTTGAGGGACTTGAGAGGGCAGTGCTTTCCAACCTTGCTGTCTTGGAAAGAAGTTTTAGGTGATGGTAAAGGAGAACACTGTAGGAGCCAGGAGCATAAACAAAGCAGAAAGAAAGAAAATCCAGATTTCTGTCTAGTCTTCCAAAAGAATCGGACTGAAACTTGGCACCTCTGGCCATAGCAACAAGTAGAGCAGTAAAGAATGTACAGACTTGGTACAATGCACTACTTATTGAAGGAGATGACAAGCGTGAAGGAACACTTCCAAAACCCTGAATGCAGCTAGATCTATGTCACAGCTGAGTCTTTGGCAGCTCTCAACAGCATTTCACTGAAAGTGAAAAAAAAAATCAAAGTCAGAGTTACGAAGCTGAAAGAGGAGCTTTTGCTATCAGCTGAGGACTAGCAAAAATGGGAGGTTATAATGGAACTGCACTGGGAGGTGAAGCAATCTGCAGGGTTTGCTGCAGTGGATCAGCACTGGGCTGAGTGGATGTGGTTACAAAAACATCTTTGTGCTCAGCACTATTCGTTGTTGGCCTAGAGCCTTGAGGCTTAAATGCTTTGGAAATATGGATGAGGAGATGAAAACTTGAGCTTGTTTAAAGGATTTAAATCTGAAGATGGCAGTTCCAGGAGAGGGATTCTGAGTTCAGGCATGTAGGTAATGCAAGAGAGGTCTTGTCTTCACTAGCAAGTTAAGATGAAATATAGTAAAAGTGTTCCTGTTAGTTCAATCCTTGCCCACACAAAAAAAAATCCCTCATTGCATAAAGTGGCAGGAGAAACATAACTTGACAAACCAACCAGAGAACAGGATAAACCTCGAGTGAACTCACTTCATCCTTTACCACTGCCGTTTCTCTACAGTAGGGACCCACGTTAGCTCCATCAAAGCAACCAGCAGTGCTCGCTCCCCACAGCTTTTCCACACGTGCTTTCCTCACCGACTGCTTGCTCCTTGCTTTCTATTCAACCATGGCAATCCCAGGCACAAATACAGGTTGGGCGGAGAATGGATTAAGAGCAGCCCTGAGGAGAAGGACTTTGGGGTGTTGGTGGATGAGAAGCTCAACGTGAGCCAGCAGCCTGCACTGGTAGCCCAGAAAGCCAACTGCATCCTGGGCTGCATCAAAAGACACGGGGCCAGCAGGTCAAGGGAGGTGATTCTGCCCCTGTACTCCGCTCTGGTGAGACCCCACCTGGAGTACTACGTCCAGCTCTGGAGTCCTTGGCACAGGAAAGACATGGACCTGTTGGAACAGGTTCAGTGGAAAGCCACGAAGACGATCAGAGGGCTGGACCACCTCTCCTATGAGGACAGGCTGAGAGAGTTGGGATTATTCAGCCTGGAGAAGAGAAGGTTCCAGGAGGACCTTGCAGCAGCCTTCCAGTACCTGAAGCGGGCCTACAGGAGAGACCAGGAGGGACTTCTTATCAGAGTGGAGCGATAGGACGAGGGGTAACGGCTTTAGACTGAAAGAAGGTAGATTTAGATTAGATATTAGGAAGAAATTCTTTATTCTGAGGGTGGTGAGACACTGGAACAGGTTGGTTGGACAAGATGATCTTTAAGGTCCCTTCCAACCTGAACCATTCCATGATTCTACAATTCTATGATTTGTGAGCTTATTCACCCAGTTGCAAAAGGCCTCCAGTGCCCACAACAAGCAATCACCCATCTTCAGCGCAGAAGTCTACGTTTTATTATTTTGAAATTGTGCCTAACAAGACCTCATTTCACTGCTGCCTGCTGATCAGACACCAAGTTATGGGAGAATCACTGGCATGATGCTACTGTAGCCTATGATTTTAGGAGGAAAGATTGAGGCTGAAAGCTTTCTGGTGACATTCCAAGTAAGCTGTCATGAGAAGAGAATCCAACATGCAAGACCTCAGTGCTGGGGGAAAATCAGAGGGTTTCATCTACTCGGAGGAAAAGCGTAGAACTATAAATGCTAAGTCAGTAACTCCCCAGGAATGAGCATGTGCCATGCTGAGACTGAATCCATCAGCAAATCCCTGAGGCCGGATCTCTATTTCAGACTGTGCAGTATAACAGCTCCAGGGAACATACAAACAGAGGATGCTGATAATTTCACAGTTTCTGCGTCCCTGTGAGGCAGAAAATAGAAGTGCTCTGAAGCTCTTTCCTGGGAACACAGAAGTAATGTTTTCCAGGGCCATCAAAAGCAGAGGAAGATAGGTGTGTTCTCTGCAAACTGGGAGAAAGGAAAAGGGAATTATCTGCTACCATGGCTGCTAAAGGAGTCTCTCAGCTGATCAGGCCAGCTTTGTGGATGGGAACTGGTCCTTTGGGGAAGAGATGTTGGGAGGGGTGTGGAGTTTGCTCAGGTAGGCAGAAATCTCAGCAGCACAGACAATCCACAGTGGATTCGCACCGTATCAGTGTCTCCCCTGGCAGCACAGATTATTAATGCGCCTACTATGTCTGCCCCTTTATCACAAGCAACCCCATGGGAATAACTTCCGAGGCAGATGACTCAAGGTAATTTTGTAGTGTGACTGCATCCTAAGAAAGAGGAGACAAAAAGGGAAAGGCAGACAGACAGGCGGTCTCTAGCACGCTGAGGTCAAATTCCCCTTTCTGTCACTGGCGGGTATGAGAAAGTTGAGGACGACCCCGAGAGGTAACAGACAGACTCCCGTGTCTGCTGGCAGGCACCAGGCAGACTTAAACATCCACACGTGTGAGCATGACGATATAATCTCTGACTATCAGCAAGAAGATGCCCGGGTTTCACTCCTAAATGTCTCAACTTCTCCGCATAGCTCGGATTGCACAGCAAATGCCTCAGCTGTATGAAATGTGCTCTTGGCTCTGGGGAGGTATTATTTCAGGTTGGCTGCAGCTGGGAGTACGTAGCATGACTTCAGGCCTCATTAGATGCACACTTGACAAGTTTTCGGCACAAACATAAAGGGAAGAAAGGGTTTCTTAAGAAAACAAGGCTTACACAGTTGTCCTACGTGTGTAGGGAAGGGAGTGTCTCTCTGTCTGCCCCAGCTGTCTTTTACCTCGCACTAACTTTTGAACCTGTTGGCCAACTTTATGCGAATCAGATGGAGAGAGAGAGAGATTCCAGAAATACTCAGTTCCTATGAGTTTCATGGAAAATTCAACCTAGTTAGAAGACGGAGTCTTAATTAGTGCTCTGAATGGAGGAAACCTGCAGTGGAACTCAACTTTTATTAGAATAAGAATTTAAGTTGGCAGGGACCACTGGAGCCCATCTAAGTCTAGTCTCCTGCTCAAAGCACAGCCAGCTTCAAAATTAGATGAGGCTGCTCTTGAAAACCTCTGAGGTGTCAGAGAATCCACTCTGGAGCTCAGCTTCACAAAACAAACGTATCAAGTGCAACTCCTTTGGCTCTGCCCATCAGGGAATTAATTTTCCCCTCTTTTAAAGAAGGCTTAGAAGTGGCAGCCGATGGTTAAAGCCTGCGACAATGCCCACACCTGGCAGTCCATAGGATGCTGCTTAGGTTAAATATGTCTAACCACCAGACAGCGACTTAATTTTGGCATTCTGTGTTAGTTAATGATTAAAAGTACAAAGGTCAGACTCAGAGACACAAGGCTTTGTTTATCTCATTGTTTGATTTACCAGAAGCTACAAGGGAAGGAGCGCTGCTCTGTATGAGTGGGAACTACAGACTACACATCCAGCCTGACAAGCTAATGAGAACAAGTCATTCATTAACAGAAGACTTGCTGCTAGGCAAACACACACAGCTGGTATGGGAGAAGAATTTGGATGCGAAATGAGACAGTGTAGTTGGTTTTTTATAAGACATTTCCTACTTCAGTAAGTTTACAGTCTAAATAAAGACCACACGTAACACATTAAGAGCCTGATCAGAGGAAGATTTGGGCTTATGTCTTTTCTGAAAGGTTTGGTAATGAGCAGAGAGGCAGAATTTGCAAAGAGAAGGAAAATATTTGCATGTTTAACAGAAGGAACAAGTTTAAATTTAAGTGAGATTTGATTACAAATGTATATGCTGCTCTCTTGGGTACTCGTCTATTCTGTGCATACACACATACATACGCTTTCACAGAAACATCTTACAAAGCTCTGATGCTTTTTCCTGTGTCAGTTGTACAATTACATTCTTCTTTACAGTACTTTAATGCTACTGAGCATTTTTTAAAGAAATAACATTAAAGCTGGAAGCTGAAAAGCAGGGATGTTTAATACTACATAACTGTGTGACGCGGGAACACAATGTCATTTGAAAGATAATCACTTACAATTCTTGCATAATTAAATAAAAAAGCCTGCCAAGAAAGAATCTATCTGGACTTTGTAGCATGAAACAATAATGATATTTTAGACCAAACTTTGACTTTTCAATATGATTTAATTATTTATGTCCATTCATGGCCAGGGCACATGGGCATTTACCAAAGTGATCCAGAGCAAGGCTGGATTCCTGCCATCCTAAATTTCTACCACGGAGCACCAATCCTGCAAGAAGTTGTCCCCTCAGGCTTCTTTACAAGATCAAAGACTAAATTCAGAAGCGTGTACAATTCAAAACAATACCAGGAGTGCAATCACAGAGAGATTAATTATTGTAACAAGGGCAACACTGGAAGATACAGTTTTCAGTAAAATTTAAAGAAGGGAAGTGATGGTGCCGGGAACTCATTGGCTGACAAAGCAGTCTGAGCACGAGGGACAGGGTGAGGAGGCAAGAAGGTAGTGATGAAGGAGGTATAAGAGGAAACTACCACACAAAGCAAGGAGCATGGAGAGGAAGCACTGCTAAGTCTTAATTCCATCTAATTTCAGCTGCACATCTTAGAAAAACAAGATAAGGATTTATTTTTTTTCCAGCTAATGTAGCCTTTATGTTGTTTTGGACCATCACAGTGGCTATTCTAATTCAGATACAGTACAGTAGTCATCAGAGGAATCTAAGGTGGGATGAGGTTGGTCTCAGAGGCATGGATGGAGGTACCGCAGTACGGCACTGTGCTCTGAAGCCTTTGCTATTCCTGATCCAAATGTCAGCTCTTTGGCTACAAACCTCTCAGGGGGAGAAAACAGAAAACACATGAAGAAAAGCTTCCATCTGCAAACTAAAGAACCCCCTTGCTTTCCAATGAGCTAGTAAGACTTCAAATTAGGAACCAAAAAAAAAGGCTCCTAAACATGAATTAAGGCAACCCTGGAACACTGGTGGCAAAACACTCCGATTGACCCCCCTTGCAGACAAATGCCTAAGATCCTGAATCATCACCAGTGCTGCCGAGGGACTTGACTTAATAGTACCTCAACAAATGTACTTTATCAGTGATCACACCATGCAAGCTGAGTACTAATTTGCAATTCCCAGCAGATGCACAGACTTGTCATCATTTTCGTTTGGTTGAGGCAACGTTTTCCAGGGAAAAAGGCAAACAAACAACATTCTTAATGTTCTCATTAGCATACTCTACTACAACCTTTCATACCTTAAGCAGATGCTCGGGAAGGGCGGTGCAGCTGTAGTACTTACAGAAATATATCAGACAGGAAAACAGTTACAGAAGAAGTGCTATAATCTGCTTATTCCATGTCTCTCCACCTCTTCCTTTACTCTGATGGAGGCTGTGAAAAGGTTATGGGTTACACCATGATGGGTATAGCTCTTCCAAAACCTCAGCACAGGTGACATGTTGTTGTTTGCAGTTAATAGACGTGTCCACAAGGCCAGGCCACACAGTTGTGATCTGTGAGGGTGGTTTGTTACACAGTATACCTAACACAAAAACACAGGAGCAAATAAAAGAAGAACCAGGGTGCCTGAGATGCTGTAGGGAGCTACCTGTCTCTACACAGGGTCACACTCACCTTTTCCACTACAACACCCTATGCACAGGCTACACAGGCCCTTTTCTCCCTCCACACAGAACCCTTCATTTGCTTGCTCTCCTGTAGGTGTCAATGTTTAGATTAGTAGCTGGCAGTGTCAGAAGAGTGGTTTGAATGAGGGTAATGCTGAAGCAGCATCAAAGAGCTAACAAAAGGTTGGTCGCACCGAGGAAAGGGCTGGGTTGGGTGATGGGATGCAGCATTTGGGTGTGATGGTGCGTGTATGGAGTTGTTATTTTGGATATGGTGGAAGAAAGAACAATTATTAACAGAGGAAATCTAATCTGTCACTGCTGCATGTGAACCTTTCTGTGCTGCTGGGCAAAATCTGTTAGAAAATCATACTTCCCCAGAAAGCTTTTATGTTCATAAGACCCTCATTGACCAGGCTTGTGGCTACCCAAGCTATCTTGCATGCACTGTACATAAATTCAAATTTAAATCATATAATGATTCAAAATAACTTTTAAGACAACACTGAAACACTACCTATTGTGCTGTGAAGGATCTGTGCAGGCAGTACACGTTAAGAGCTGTCACTCAGAGAAGAAAGAGTGAGCACTTGTACATGTTGCACCAAGAAACGACATTCTCCTTTGAAAGGCCTCAGCACTCACAAGCTTTCAATGTTTCTTGCAGAGTAACTAACCTTGTGTCACAAAGCCTTTATCATATTTTAAAATCTTTCTCTTTTTTCTTTCTTTTTTTTTTTTTTAAATACCTTTTCCCTGAACCCCTCCATTAAGGCTAAGAGGTGGCTGCCGGGTTTCCACACAGGTGAAGTCCAGTGTGTCACAGCAATGCCACAGCAATGCCACAGGCCATCTAGTGGACATTACACACTGCCTTTGCAGGCATCCCAGGGGAGTTACAGCTGTCCTGAGCTCCACAACTTGTTCTGGTATTGCAATAAAAGCCTACATATCCTGACACGTTATGCACATGCATCCCTTACTCTTGAGAACTCTACAAATGCCTCCTCCATCGGCCCCCTGTTGTTCTAGGCACTTAAGAAATACCTTAACTAAAACCATCCAAGTACCAGCCGAATGTTAAAGACAATTCTGTTTCTCTGTGTAGCTTTGATACACAGAAGGTATATGAGCTGAGAGAAGAGCAAAGATTACTCCTAGAATCAATTTTCAAGCCACTGACAGGGTACTGCTAGTTGATTTTTCCTAAGTTACAAACAGAAACTGCCCAGTTGACTCAACCCTTAGTTAAGCTCAGGAGTCTCCAATTTGTCCACAGGCTTCTTCTGGCACAGAACCTGTACTTTAGGCAGATGACAGCAGCGCGCTCGTGACATGTAATGCAGAGCATGTAAGACTGCTCAGCCAGCAATTATTTGATTGTGTGATTTTTGGAGCACACTGTGGATGTGGAGCAATGCATTGTGAGTGCTTAGAAGTAGCTTCAAGAAATGGATATGCAGTGAATATTTAAAGTCAGGTCAGAAGTGTTTCTAGAAATATCGCATTTCTCATCAGGCACATTACTGTAACCTCAACGCTGCCTTTTTTCCTTGGTCCTTTTTATCCCTTACTCACAGCTCATGAGATGGCAGATTGACTGGAAGGCCAAAATCGCCAGGAGGAGAGTAACAGTTACCGATGCCTCATCAACGCACGGTGCCAGACCTCTTCAAAAGAAATTACCTTCTGGAAAACAACCTATTCCTGATACTACACGAGCCTGATAACATCGCAGCTGATGATAACAGGTAACATTGATACAGATTTTACCTCTTCAAAGGACTTTGTAATCTTTGCATTGTTAATAACCATGACGCTCTGTAAAGTAAACACTTATTAGCCCCCGTTTTAACAATAAGGAATGGTGTGGCTCAGTGTCATCAGTGACTCAGTAGAACAGAGTCATTTTCACTTTGGGGAGTTTCTTGTTCTTCTAGCAGGCAATCTAGAAGAGGGGTTGGTCACCATCCAGGGCTCGGCACCACCTGCTTATATGATACCATATAAACCATGTTGTGGAGAGGACCAAGGAGGGTAAGAGTTTGAGAGTAGGGCTTGTTTAGCACACAACCAGAAATGGTGGGGTGCTGGTTTTGAAGCTTTTTTAATAGGGTACAGCATGATCTTAAAATTATATTTTACCACATTATTTATACCATGGCTGATGGTAACCATGCTGCAGCCCTCTTCCCCTTGCAACAGGTCTTTTTGGAAAGCCCCTGCCTGACTCCATGCCCAGTTAGGATGTTTCTGTGTGTCAGATCAGTTCCACGCAGTCGGGCATTAACGTAACCCACAGCGAGCCGCTACACGTGCCCAAGCTGCTGGTAGGGAGAGTGAGGGATTTCACAAGATCCAAGGAAGAAGAACAGTGTTTAAACCCAATTCTCCTTAGTGCACTTATGCACAATAGTCTCTTGACACTGGCATCTTCTTTTAAAATGCTAATGGCCTTCCTCTGGATAGTTCTTAAGGAGCAGCGAGTAAAAGGCATTAGGAAAGAAAAATGCTATTTCTGATGATTTTTAAAGAGTGGTTCTATCCTACATGGCAACTGCAAATGGCACGAGGGAGTTTTGTGTTTGTTGTCTCTCTACAGTCTCCAGAGAACATATATTTTGTTTACAAGGCAAACCATTTATAAATGCCAAACCCTGCAAATTCTAGCTGGAATGGGACCAGGAAATATCTCCACTGAAGGGTTTGCCCGTGTGGGCCAGTTCTGGCTGAGACTGTCCATCCTGCAGAGACACCCTCTGCTCACACACACATAACCGTGCCCGTACCAGGTCCCTGGCTTGGCAGTGCATACCCCATGCTACACCCCAGATGTTCTCAGTGCTATTTTAAGAGACGTTTTGTTGAGTGTTATTAACAAGTCTGTCTGTAATTCCCCATCGCCCCGATGTTCCTAGTCCATTAATTTAGTGAGTTAAAGCATTTCTGGCTCCACGTGCTCCTCCTCACTCCTGTTTACTCCAGCCTGTGTCAGAGCACACACCAGCCCAGCCGGATGAGCCACCCCTATTTTAGGCAGAATTATTATTGCAGCAGTTTGAGTGCATGTGACGGTACGGATAGCATTTCCATAGCACCTCGTGACCCCAGGAAGGTAGAACACAACCTTAGCACTCCTGCTACTAGGAATTTCATACAAGAAAGCTGACTTCCGTGGAGCTTAGAGAGGAGCTTCTCACCTTCCCACCCCTGGATGGCCACACAGAAGTTGGTCCAGCCACAGGTTGCCGTGGCTCTTTGGAAGCTGGCTGGCCCTGGGTGTTCCCAAGCCAATTTGTCACTGTCACCTCAGTTCTCAGTGGTGTGGTGAGGGCACCCGAAATGAATCGTGTCGTGGCTTACCCACGGTGAGGCAACATCGCCAATGCATTGCTGAAAGAGTAGCCAGCACGGAGAGTGAAATACTTCCAAGTGCCTAGGTCCCCTGAACTGCAACAAGCACCATTATCTCTCAGGATGAAACCTCCTCCCTTCTGCTTTGAATTGGGGAGTCTTATGCTGGTATTATGCAAGGTGAACGATGACAGTTTCCCAATTAATTACAGAATAGAGCGCACATTCAGCCACCCGATGACATAGACACCGCTGCCAACCACCCCTGGCCACCAACACAACACGCCTGATGCTATTCATGTGGCTGTCCCTTTCTCTCCTTCCACTCCCTGGGCCAGGAGAGCAAGAGGCAGAGCACAGGTCCCCGTGGCAGCCTGGAGGACTTCGCTGGGGAACCCTCCATGGCAGAGGAGATAAGACAGACATGGTTTTGGGACAGGCCCACCACCACTCCTTTCTGCCACCGAGTCCACCACCCTGTCTTGCTTCACGCCTCACGCCTGCTCGGGTTTGTAGGCGAACCAGCCTGGCTTTAGCCTCCAGGGAAAGCGTGTTCAGGGGTTTGGGGCTCAGCCTCGCCGTGAGGGGAGCAGCCCTGGGGCCACGGCCGCGGCCTTCGGTCGGGTCACCCCCGCCTGGCCTCAAACTGCGGCCCAGACGGGAGGACCCTCAACCCGGCGGGGGTTCTGGCTCCTCAGTCCATGTCCCCCCCGCCTCGCCGTGCCTGTCCCCGCCACCGCCACGCCGCCCGTGTCACCGCGCCTGTGTGACTGCGGCGGGGGCGGGGTGGGCGGCCTCCCTGGGAGGACCGGAGGTGGCTGCGGGAGCCGCTCTGTCCCCTCTCTCCCGGCGCTCTGTGGTTTAAGATGGCGGCGGGGGCTGAGGGGGCGAGTCCGTGAGTCCCAGGCCGGAGCGCCGCGG